ATCCATTCTCCTATCCACTTCTGTTTTATGGGTGAGTTCATCTCATTCACATTTATAGTTGTGATAATTATGTATTTTCCTCTAGGCTACTTTTTGCTTGTTTATTCTTTACTCTCTTTTACACCCCATCCTTCCCACAAATGTTTACTTCTGATCAATCTAACCTTCCTTTTATCAGTTCCCCCTCCCCCTTCTATTATCCCTGTACCTTTTTACTTCCTTATAGTGTGAGATAGATTTCTATATTCAACTGAATGTGTATGTTATGATGTCTTTGAGCCAATTTTGATTACAGTAAGGTTTAAGCTTCTCCCACCACCCACCCCCATTTTCCCATCCATTATAATAGTTCTCTCACGCCTCTTTTATGTGAGATAATTTACCCCATTCAATCTCCTCCCTCCTTTCAGTGAAATTTTCTTTCTCAACCTTTTATTTTGTTTTTTCGGGGTATCATCCCCATCAAAGTCACCTTACTCCACACCCTCTGTCTACATATACTCCTTCTAATTGCTCTTATGGGTAATAAAGTTGTTAAGAGTTACAAATATAATCTTGCCCATACAGAAATATAAACAATTTAACCTTATTGAATTTATGTTTTCTCTTTATTTCTTTTTTATCTTTTTATGTTTCTCTTGAATCTTGTATTTAGAGGTCAAATTTTTTATTTAGCTCTGGTCTTTTAATAAGAAATGCTTGAAACTCCTCTATTTTATTCAATGTCCATTTTTTTTCCTCTGAAAGATTATATTCAGTTTTGCTGGGTAGGTGATTCTTGGTTGTAATCTTAACTCCTTTACCTTCCAGTATTATCATATTTCAAGTCCTCTGGTAAAATGTGGAAGCTGCCAAATCCTGTGTAATACTGACTGGAGCTCCATGATATCTGAATTCTTTTCGGCTGCTTGCAATATTTTCTCCTTGATTTGTGAGCTCTGGAATTTGGCTATGACATTCCTGGGAGTTTTCATTTTGGAATCTCTTTCAGGCAGTGATCAATGGACTCTTTCAATTTCTATTTTGCCCTTTAGTTCTAATTAGTTCTAATATTACAGTTTTCTTTCATAATTTCTTGAAAAATATTGTCCAGGCTTTGTTCTTTAATCATGGCTTATAAGTAGTCCAATAATTCTTATATTATCTCTTCTGGATCTATTTTCTAGGTCAGTTCTTTTTCCAATGAAAAATTCCACATTTTCTTCTATCGTTTTTACTTTTTTGATTGTTTTATTGTATCTTGATGTCTCAGAGAGTCATTTTCCACTTGTTCAATTATATTTTTAAGGAATTATTTTCTTCAGTGAGCTTTTGTATTTCCTTTTCTGAAGGGCCAATTTTATTTTTTAGGGAGTTATTTTGCTCAGTAAATTTTTGTATATGTTCCCATGCTATCATTAACTTTTTTTTTTCACAGTTCTCTTGCATTACTCTCATTTCTTTTCCTAATTTTTCTTCTACTTCTCTAATTTGCTTTTTAAAATCCTTTTAAAGTTCTTCCAGGAATTCTTTTTGGGCCTGAAACCAAATTATATTTTTCTTTGAGGCTTCAGATGTAGCCATTTTGACTCTACAATCCTCTTCTAACTTTATGCCTTGATCCTCCTTATCACCATGGTAACTTTCTATAGTCAAATTCTTTTTTTTCTTATTTTGTGCTTTTTTTCTGGTGACTTGGTGTTTTTTATGTGAGAGTGGGTTCTGGTTTTACATTGTCGCAGGCCTTTTGTGCTAGGGCTCTAGGTCTTACTGCTGGCTTTCACTGGGCTTCAGGGCTTAACTGCTTGCTTTCTCTAGTGGGTAGGCTTCCCTGCTGGCTTGTACTGGGGTGGAAGGAAGGGAATCTCAACATTGGCCTCCCCTGGGTATGGGGTTTAGCTGCTGGCCTGCTCTAGGGGTGGGGCCTTGCTGCTGGGTTGCTATGGTAACAGTCTTTCTGGTGGTTGGTCCTAGAGGGGTGAACCTTGTTTCTGGTCTGCCCCAGGGGTGGGGTCTTCCTGTTGGCCAGCCCCCAGGGTGGGGCTTCACTACTGGTCAGCAATGGGGTTAAAGCTTGCCCTCCCTGGTGGCTTGTGCTGGGGTTAGGGTCACTGGGTTGTTTCTCCTTTGTTCTCAAAGAAGACCATAACCTTAGGGGAATGATGCCACAACATTCAAGTGAACTGGATTTAAGTGAGGGAGGGCTGTGCAAAGTCACTAGCCTCACTTTTTCCTCTGGAGCCATCTGGGTCCAGTGGTCAGATATAGATCAGGACAACTGGAGATGGCCAAGGATGCAGTGGAGGGAAGGGCCAGTGCTACACAGACTACTCACTTGCATAGGGGTCTGCTGACTTGTAAGAAGGCAGGACCTTGCTGGTGGATTGCCCCAGGATTGGAGCTTTGTTTCATGCCCCCTACCTTGAGGCTGGCTGCTGCTTCTGCTCTTGGACCTCACTTCCCTCCCATTCCAGTGAGACAGAGCTTTACTGCTGGGTTGGTAAGTTGCTTCCCTGCTCCTAGGTCAATTCTGAGGTAGTTTTCCAGTTGTTTGGAGGGGAATTTGGGAGGGCTTCAGAGGGTTCCTTCCTCACTCTGCCATCTTAGTACCACATGAGGTTTTCTTGGCAAAGATACATGAGTGGTCTGCATTTCCTTCTCCATTTATATGCAGGGCAAGGATTAAGTGACTTGCCTAGGGTCACAAAGCTAGTAAGCACCTGAGATCACATTTGAACTCTGGTCTTTCTGACTACAGGTCCAATGCTCTATCCAGTCAGCACTGAGCTGCCCCAAATGAATCCTACAAATCATCTTGTATAACTCCCTCATTTTAGAAATGAAGAAATTGAGGCCCAAAGGGATGAAAGACTTAGCCAAAGTTATACGTTTAGTAAATGACAGCTTAGATCTGAACCCAGGTTTTCTAACTCCACATCTGGTCAACTTTCTACAATATACAGAAAACACTCCACTAGTGTTTCCTAAACTATATCACATAGAATCTTTGGCATCTCAGAGGATATAAGTTCCATGAAAAAAACTTTGATATAAATAATTGTCTGGGAACAGATGGAGGAAGGAAAGCTTTTTCCTGAGACTGACAAATGGAAGGAAGAACTCAGATAAGGCAAGACACAGGAGTTTGGGCTGGGGTGCAAATAAAGTAAAAAGCAGGCAATAAATAGTCTTTTCTCTCCTGTAGCATCAACAATAAGAGGCAATGGGTGGAGGTAAACAGACTGGTATAGGAGAACTCTCACAGAAACAGGACATGAAAGTTCATGGAAAAGACAAGAATGTATAAAATTAAGCCCTTTCTCTCCAGCATGGTCTGAGCTTAACTGTTTCTTGTATAACCTATAAGCTTAAGTTGCCAGAGGATTATGCCCTTTTCTCTGAATCACTTGGATGTTATTCCAGCTTGCATCAAAAACACGTATATTCAGTATAGAAAAAAATCCTTACTATTTTCCAAAGTTACCATGAACCTCTGATTTATGATAAATATCAGTGACCATTCAAATCAGTGTGTATGTGTCCATACACACACACACACACACACACACACACACACACGTGAATTGACACACATTCTATCAATTCAACTGGCATTTATATAGTACTTTAATGTTTACAAACTGCTTTAGTATGTTATTTCATGATCCCCACCACAACTCTGGGTGCTATTATTGGTACTAATATTATCCTCATTTTACCAATGAGGAAACTGAAACTAAGAGGAATTATAGAACTTGCCAGGGTCACACAGCTGTTAAGTATCTAATAAAGGATTTGAATTCAGGTCATTGAGATTACAAATCCAACACTCTACTACACCACCTAGCCATCTATCATGCTGTCAATCCCTCTTCTTTCACCAAATTATTAGTTTGAGAAGCAATGATGTAGATTATGACCACCTTATATCATTCTTGAAATACAGCTTGCATCAAAAAGACGTATATTCAGTATAGAAAAAAATCCTTACTATTTTCCAAAGTTACCATGAACCTCTGATTTATGATAAATATCAGTGACCACTCAAATCAGTGTGTATGTGTCCATACAGAACTACCTATAATATATCCTTAGAGGAACTGAAGTTATTCATTGCTGAAATATGTCAAAAAATTCGATCACCTAGTTCTTCATAATTTAAAAACACCACTCAAAATTTGGACACAATACCTATAGTTCTTCACAAGCTCCACTTTTCAGAAAAGACCAGCATTTTGTGATAGGGAAAAATAAGGTCTTCAAAAACATTCCAAATTACCAGACTTGAATATAGTCTAACTCCCAACAACCTCCTCCTTCTCTAGCTTGCAAATACAATTATAAATTACATAAGAATTAATTTCAGAAATTATTTCACTAGGACAAGAAAATATTTTCATTTAACCTTTTTCCACAAAGCAAAATAATCAAGTATACTTAGGCTCTTATTTATTGCCAAAAAGCATGTTACTTTTTGAAGGACTGTAAACTGAACCTATCCTGAAATGAACTCTTTGTTTACCATTTTAAGTTTGCTCTAACCATTGAGGAATGAAGGTTGTAAATATTAAAAAAGCTTTTAAAATGGAAAAGTAAAACCTAAGCAAGATTTTAGATTTAGAATGGAAACGGTCTTTAGAAACTCTCTAATCCAGTTCTACAATTCCTGCATAGGGAAAAAGTGAAGCACACAAAGTGAAAATCATTTGCCCAAGGTTATAAACACAGGTTCTTGGACTCTAAACTTCTTTCTATCACACCATGGGGTCTCTGAAATGCGGATGTTAAATTTTCTCTAAGGTCCCTTTTAAATCTAAATCTGTGATCCTAAATCTTAACTGTTCCTGTTCAATTCTTCTCCTACTGCTACAAACTTCTTTCCTTTTTTTTTTGAGGGGGGGAGGGGGTGAGCAGTGGATGGGTGAAGGGAACCAAAATAGCAGGGAAGAAAAAGAGGGGAATATCTTTCAAGAGATCATTTCTGAAATGCCCAATTAATCACCTGTGGTTTTGACACTTACCAGACACATTGATTGATGTTCCCGCATCAATAATTCCACTATTGGGTCTCACACAGTACCGGCGGGGTGCAGTAGTCTTCACTTTAAAACATACATTTCGGTCAGAAGGGTTGCCAAGCTTCAGGTTGGTGGTAACAACATCTGTGAAGGGGCCTGTGAACAACAACAACAACAACAAATGGAGAAAGAATGTAGAGGGCTAAGGCAAACCTCAAACCATATTTATTCATAGTTCAATTACAACTTTGTGTTTTTTTCGATAAAGGGATAGCATTCTTTATCACCTATATGAACTTTTGCCTGGAGGAGGCATGGGGGAAAGACAGAATAAAGAGAATTTCTATAATTAGTTCAGACAACTTTCAACGACTCGTTTCTGACTAGATGAGTTTCCTTGGGGAAAGGACTGTGCCTTATAAAACTCAAGGAGACTAGAAAGATACAGTAAGCAAGCATTCAAATGATGTCTTCACAGCTGTTGTTGATAATGCTGAACATTATGTTAATTTAACAGACTATCCAATTCACATTCTAGAATTTCAGAATTGGGAGGGACCATGGTGACCACCTAGATCAACCAATACCTGCAAAAAGGGGGAACCCATGACACCTCCAAATGAAGTCCATTCTACCTTTGGACAGATCTAATTATTTTTCTTTAAACTAAAATTTGCCTCTATGAAACTTCTATTCGCTGTTCCTTATTCTGCCTTTAAAAGCCAAGTAGAACAAGTCTGATCCTCGAGGACCCTGCAAGTACTTGAAAACCAATTACAATTTCCCCCCATAAGTCTTTTCTCTAGGAGGAATATCTATAGTTGTTTCAATTGATCGCTCAGGGTCCAATCATCCTGGTTGACTTCCTCCTTCGCAAAACACGGCATCCTAAACTGAATATGACCCTCTGAATGTTGTGGTTTGTTCTTCGTTCTCGAAGAGGACCATGACATCAGGGAGATGATAACATGACTTGCAACTGAATTTGATTTGACGTAGTCTAACCAGGACACAATACAGTAGGGCTATTACTCCTCATTGCTAAAAGCTATGGCAATTCTTTATTTCCCCACAAGGACAATTGATTGCCAAATCTTGTCCCTTCTACCTCTATAGCATTTTTTTATTCCCTCCCTCTTTTCCTGCAATCATGCAGTCACTATTCTAGTTCAGTACCTCATTACCTCTTAGTTGTTTCTTCTGCTTGAGGTCTTTCCTTAACTCAAATCCATCCTCCTCCACACAGCTGCCAAAGTGATTTTCTAAAAGTACAAATCTGACCGTGTCACTCCACAACTGCATTGGTGCCCCATTATTTCAAGGATCAAGTATGAACTCCTTTGTTTGGCATTTAAAGTCTCTCACAATGTGGCTCCAACCTACCTTTCTGCTCGGGTCCAGATCTTTCCTTTTCCTTTATTTTAATAAGGAAATTTCCTTTTCTTTTTGCCCTCGCTGTCCTCCATGCTTGGAATGTAGTTCCTCTATATCTTCCCCTCTTAGAATCCCTAATTTCCGTCAATGCAACCTTCTATACAAAGCTTTTCTTGATCCCATCATAGCTGCTGCTGATTCCCTCCATAACTGCCTCATGTCATTTTAGCATATGCTTATATAAGTAAAATATATTGTCTCCCCTGGATAGGTCATAAACTCCTTAAGGGGAGGGTTTTTTTCAATTTGGCTCAGAATCTAGACTTGCTGACTAATGGTTTAAGAAGGTGTCACCTGAGCTCAGCTTTGAAGGAAGACAAGGATTCTGAGTCAGAAGGACAGAGTACATTCCAAGCAAGGGGTAATGGTTTGTTTAAACACTGCAAAGCAGGACACAGAACACAGAGTTCACATTAAGAGCCAGTAGACTGATTTGGCTAGCCTGCAGAGTTCATAAAGTAGTATGAAATAAAGCTGTAAACATGGCTTCCTCTCTCTTTCCCTGCAACAAACAAAATCATAGCTAAAAGGTACCTTAAAGATCACATAACTCAACATCCTTATTTTAGACATGATAAAACCCAGGGCAGGTAAGCAATTTACCCAAGGTATGAGCCGGTGGGGACCTTAAACGTTATTTAAAGTCCTGAGTTTATAGATAAGAAGCTGAGGTCCAATGACTTGCCCATGGTAAAAAATAAAGAATAAAAAGAAAACATATCTATGATATAAGGAGGAAGTTGGCACAAGACCACTAAAATTTCACTGAGCCACATAATGACACCAAGATCACATTGCCTACACCTTACAAAGAGAGAATCTGGCTCTTTGTGGAGTAGAATTAGAAGCTACAACTTAGACTTGAAATAATGTTAGTGAACAAAGGACAATCCAGTATGAAGTTCTTCTAAGGTCAAACCAGGTTGTTCCAAAGCTTTTTTAAAATCACCATAAAGAGAGACATACATGCACTTGACAAAAATTTAAAACTGAGCTTCCAACACTTTTGCTCTCCAGCTGTTGTCCTTTAATGTACACTATCATGTGGAGAAAGGTTAAAGAGAAGAGCTAGGATTTGAACTGAGGTCCTTTGCCTCCTTGTCTCCAAATCCAAATGTTCTCTGTACTATTGTAAGATGCAAAGCTGGGATGTGGACTAATATCCCTCTGGATCCACATACAGTGAGTGCGGCTGTCTCCCCTACACTTTGCTGTTTCTAGAGCACCAAGAGTATTCAGGGAATACAAACCCAAATTAATATAAGCTTAAATGAAACAGTTGATTTCTGTAGGTGCGAAGGAGGTGTGTGTATGTATGGGGAGGGGAGGGAGTGAATTCCCAAATCAAACTATTTTTGGATTACCAATGTCATAGCTCCTACTCAAAAATTAACCAAGGATTTACTTACAACCCCCACTTCCAAAGATTTAATCCCAAGGTTAACCAGAAGATAGAAGCAACATTCACAAAACAAATAATGCTCAGAGTGATATTCCTTTGGAGCTGGGAGAAGCTGTTTACCCAACCAACAATAGCCCAGATTCCCTCAAGTTGTTGTGTAGTTGTTATGATATGTGAAGAGGATGGTAAAGTTACTCTATGAACTGGTATAGGGAGTTTCTTCTTGGTGAGTTCCTTACACCAGGTGTCAAAATCCATGGTATGAAGACCAACACTCCTGAGTACAGCCAGAACCAGATTAAAAATATATCTGGGAAATATTTAACAAAATAAAATATATCAACTGACAAGCATTTATTAAATGTCTCCTGTGTGCCAGGCAATTTGATCTAGGTGCGAGGCATACGAAGACAAAAATGAAATAGTTCTGGCCCTCAAGAAGATTATACTGTACTGGAAAGTCTACAGGTGATCCTTTACACCTAGATTAATGACCTTTCTCATGCATTTGGGAATGAGGCTCTAGCATTGCCATGGTAGAATTTCATCTATACTGTCCCTTTATCATTTTATCAGTTTATTGGTTCCAGGTTCAAATCTCAAGTCCAAGATTTATTGGCTTTCCACCTTGAACTTCTCCCAGGCCTAAATTTCCTTATCTATAAAATATGGTGACAATCTCTAAGCGCTCCCTTTTAGCTCTAGATGCTATGATCCACACTTACCCTCAGTCCCCAACCTCACAACCCCAACACATACCTTCATTTTTACTCAAGGAAAAAGTTCATACAAGCTATCAAACCTGGGCAGGGACCAAGCAGAGATAAAAACAAACAGAATACTAGCAGGGATGAGAAAAATAAATTATGAAGTTCTTACACCCAATGGTAAAACAAAACAAAATATAACCCAGATTTTTCCAAAGTGAAAGGCAGTCAAAAATAACGATTCCCCGGTAGTGGCAAGTTTGGGAAGTGGTAGAGCCTGGAATTTTATTTTCTTATAAAGACAGCAGGAAAAAGTTGCCTAGGAAAAAGACATTCCAATTTGACTTATGGAACTATCTTTTCAAAGAGAGCCAGTTATATACTTAAAACAAGTGCCATTTGTAAAATGGCAAGTTCAAGTGATTCCTTCAGTAATCAGTGCACCTCTCTCCCCAACATTTCCTCAGTATATTCTCTATCAGATCAGCTTGGGTTTCCACATGTTGTTTCCTCAGTAGAACGTAGGCTCCTTAAATGCAGGGATTCTAGTGCCCAGCAAATAGCACGTTAAAAATTTCTAATAATCCCAAATACATCAAAACAACATGCTTTTTCTATAACTACTGAAATTGCAATGATAGAAAAAAAAATTAGAAAAGGTGCCACAACCACTATTGAGGAGAACAGTTATTTGTCTTTCTGCTGTCGTTCAGTCATGTATGACTCCATGACCTCATGTGAGGTTTCTTTTGGCAAAGACGCTAGAGTGGTTTGTCATTTCCTTCTCCAGTTCATTCCTCCTAGATGAGGAATTGAGGCAAATAGGGTTAAGTGATTTGTCCAGGATCACAGAGCTAGTAAGTGTCTTAGGCTAGATTTGAACTCAGGAAGAGGAGTTCTTCCTGGTTCTGAGTCCAGTGTTCCTACTGCACCACTTCGCTGCCCTATTTTTTTCCCCCAGCAAAAGAGAAAAGCAGAACACATTTAAAAGTATTTGTTTCATTTTATTAATTTATTCTCCTAAACACACACACAGAAATCAAGATTTTTCAAGTATCTACCCCTCATTTCTGTCTCCTGGCTTCCCTGGTTTCTTTCAGGTCCCCTTCTATAAGAAGCAGTTCCTGGTCCTCCTCCTCCTCTTGATGCCTCCCCTCTGAAATCATGACCAATTCATGGGCATTTATCTTGTCTGCACATAGTTGTTTGCAGGAGCTCCTTGAGAGCAGGGACTGTTTTTTTAACCCTTCTTTGAATCTCCAGTGCTTGCAAAGTGTCAAACATTGCAAGTGATTGATAAATGCTACCTGTCTGAACGACTATATTCAATTGGAAGGTAAGCTCCTTGAGGCCAGGGGAATTTTGTCTTTCAAGAGGCAACTAGGTGGCACAAGGGACAGAGTGCTGGACCTGGAACTGGGGAGACCCTCGCTCTCTCCCCTCTCCCCTCCCTCAGATGATAAGTAATCCAATATAGGTTTTATACATGCAATCATGTAAAATTTTCCACATTAGTCATTTTGTACAAGACTCAAATTAAAAAAAAAAGGAAGGAAAGAAAAAACCTGGCCCCTCCCTATCTTTCCAGACCTTATAAACTTTACTCCTCTCTA